ATAATGCATTTTGTCTGGTATCAAAGCATATTCAGTTATTAGAGCTCTTTCAGACTGCCTTCCTGTATCTCTGGGCACACCCACCCTCCCCTTTCAGATTTATTCCCTAGCCACCCTCCTTTATACAGGCTGCACAAACAGAGCTGATGGGTTTGAGTAAACGCCATCTGATGGTGTGGGTGAAAGAACCGAGTGGGGTACCAGGAAAAGCATAAATTACTGTGTATGTTGTGACATAACACAACCTGACTTGCATTCTTGTAGTAACTTGTAAACTTGTAGCTTGGATTATCGATTGTAATTGATCTGGGTTTGATTCCTGTTTACTCAGTACTGAATGAGTCATTGTCCTGCCCTTTTTACAGCACATCCCCGGGTGCCCCTTGTAGATAGTGTGAATGACAAGATCTTGCTCTGAGCCTAGTTCTGCATGTTGTGGAGTACTTCTGGATTTGGGGCTGCTGGCAGCTGACCTCTTCTCCTTCTGGGAGAATCTGCTTGACAAGTTCCTGTCCCTTTTTTAACATGGTATTTCTGTTACCCCAAGCTCTTATATCTATTGAGGAAGAGGCAAGCTTACAGCTCTGATAATGAAGACTTCTTTTGCAATGTGTGAGCGCTTGAAACATGCAACTGAAATTTGGCAAGTTGAGCTTTACTGAACGCACAAAATGGCTGAACTCTTTCGTGCTGTACTACAGGGTGTTGTGGAGGCCAGGCATGCATAATGCTTGTTGATGTAAGACAAACTTAAAATGAGTTTGTTAGTACTATTGGAGAATTGCAAGTCATTATTTTCCAGAACAGGAATGTTCTCAGGAAGGGCAACAGATTTGTGCATCTGCTACTGGCCTCTCCTACGGAGATGCTAGCTGAGGTTAACTTTTCATTCAGCCTCCTATGGCAGATCTGAAGTCTAAAGAATTTCTTATCACCAGGAAACGTTCTCATAAGCCTGATGAACATATTAGTACCTGCAGAGTTACAGAATGTAATTTTTTGAGGACTGATGTTCATCTATGTTCCAGATTTTTATACACTATAGTTAACCCTTAGGAATAGCTCACTTTTTATGCAGGACACAGGACTCTAAATGTGGATGTAAAGCTGTATTTTTAGCTTATATTTAGTTTAGTTGCTCATGAAAGTATTGATTACTGAAGCGAAAATTTGTTTTAAAAATAGCTGAATGAGTTGTTTATTACTATACATGCTCTGGTTATGTCACAGTCCAGAGCACTGAGTGAGCAGGCTTCTATATGTACATGTACACATTTGTATATGCCACTGTAACACATTCCACATTCCTCTACTCAGGTCTCAAAATGACTTTTATTTTTCTTGGAGTTTCTTCAGCATCGACTGGATCAAGGTTTATTTAGCTGCTTTTGTTGTTTTTGTTGAAAATTCTGGCATTATCAGCTATGAAGGCTGTAAGCTAACATGTCATTCTTTAAATTCTTGGGATCTCAGTCTCACTAAGCCTTGGCATATTGAAGTTCCCTGTTTACTGTAGTGGGAAAGCTCTTGAAAGAGGCAAGACTGCTGGTTGGATCTAAGCTAATGCTGAATCAAAATGCAATCTTTAAGTTTTTGTTGCATGACTATGTGAGCAAGCTGTGTTATGGGCTAGTCTCTGGGCAAGTAGAAGCCAGTTTTAATCTGTCAAAACAACAGTGAAAGCAAAGTTTGCAAATATTTTTCAGCAGTTGATTCTGTGATTGACTTAAATCAATGGAAAATTATTTAGGCCAGGTTCTTGCCCTGCCTTCAGGGAAGACTTTTTTTGGAATAACTTTTGAATCTGCCTTAAGTTTCCTAATGGAAGTACCCTCATATTCGAGGGTACTGAAATTGTTCGTGCTTCTCTAGGGACTGAATAATAGCAGGTAGGAAAAGGATCTAGACCAGCCTTAAGGAACCAGGAGATTTAAGGTAATAAAGCTGTTTCATCCTGGGGGAGGAGGAGGTGCTGTCTGATCTTGGTAGTTTGTTGCTTCCTTGTTTCATGATCTTTTTATCCTTAGTCCGAAGCAGATGTTTGGAGTCCCATGTGAAGACAAGGTTGTGGGCCAGAAGCTACTCTGTTTGGCCCATTGTGAGCATGCACATTCCTGCAGTTCTAGAACTGTCTTGAGTGCTGCTTTTGTACTCAAAACTGTTTGCAGGCCCTGCAGCCTCTCTGGAAGGCTTTATACTTTTCACTGATATGAGACAGGATTTATTTTGAATGCTGTGTTTCCAGCTGAAGAAAATAAGGTTTAAGGAAAAATGTCAGCTTTTCAAAGGATGCATTCTTCCTTCTAGTAACTTACCTTTCGCCTTTTAGCGTGCTGGATTTATTTTACACTTTCCAAAGTATTTGTTCATAAGAGTTTGTTTTCTTTCCCCTGCTGTGGTTTTCAGAATGGTTTATATGGTTTCTGTGAGGACTTAAATTGCTTTGTTAGACAACAAATCAAGAGTTACTTCTTAAAAGTAAAGTTCTTCCCAAAGCAGTCACTGATTCCTGCACGCAAATATGGTCAGGGAATTATTCTTCAGTGTGTCTCATCAACATCAAGATAGCAGAAAACTTTTTTTTTTTTGGTGATTTTTTTTGTTGTTTGTTTGTTCGGTTTGGTTTGGTGTTCTTTTGTTTTTGTGGTTTGTTTTTTTTTTTTTTTTTTTTTTTTTTTAATTGTTTCCTCCTTTGATCTTGTAGCTTCCTTGGCCTCTCTCAGGGTTCTGCAACCAATGTTGTCACCCTGGTTGAGAAGGTTGATAGTGCAGATTAAATATTCTGGTTTTGTCAGCTCTGGCTTTTTAGTCTTCAGGGACTCTGATACTCACTGTGGTTAACTTGCAGTCAAATCATTTCAGACTTTAGCATGCATATTAGAGTGCATTATTCTGTCTGCCCTGTGTACTTAATCCTAAAGTCCATGTCCTGCTGCTTTCTTCCTACCAAATTTCAAATGCATCATTATATCAGTATCCTTATTTGAGGATGTCACACTCTGGTGTCTGCATTCTAGTTAAACACCAGTGACCTGTTTGTTTTTGATGGCAAGTGTCCTCCTTCTTCCTGTGTTTTGTTTGGACAAGTATTGAACACAACCACATATCTGGAGTGATGGATTCAGTTTTACAGTTTCCCTGTTATTTGATTGGGAACCTGGCCTTTGTCAATGAACGTACCTTCAGCCTGATTCCCTTTTTGGATCCAGTGAGCTCTGTCCCTCCCATTTAGACTTTCTTGCTCTCAAAGTGACCCTTCTTCCTGCCAGATGAGAAGTTCTTTTTAACTCTGGTCTCATTTGTGGTACTAGGAGCCTTTCATGGGGAGTTGTTCTATGGGGGTCATCCAGCTGTCTTGGACAGTTTGGATCTTCTCTCTCATTCATGTCCTTGTGGTTTTGGTACCTGGGTACAGTTTTTGTGCCTGTTAGGAACTTCTCCTTGTATGTTGCAGGGGTTCTTTGTTTTGTTGTTTGGTTGGGTTTTTTTGAGGGGGGTGTTGTGCTATTGTTATCTCCATGCCCCTTCCTGCTTATGTAGGGGTTTGGGTGTGGATATGTGGCTCTGCCTTGCTGGAGAGGACACTGCAATTAGTTCCCCACATGGCTAATCTTCTGTCATCTTTATAGAAGACGGAGGCTGTTGCTCTGTAGGGAATTGTCCTCCAGTGGCTCTAAAAGATCCAATGTGCATTAACCTGTTGGGTGTCCCAGTGGCACAGGGGTACTGTACTGGTGTAACCCCAGAGCTGATTATGAACCTCCCTGTCTTTTACTTGTTTCAGCCCAGATGTCTTAAGATGACTCTGTAAAGAATTTGGGATGCCTCTGCTTTGCATTACTTTCTCAAAAGGCAAGAAAAAGGCCTTCAGTGCAGAGAAAAACTGCTGTCTGGTGTTGTGACTGTACTTCGCTATGTGCATCAAGTCATGAGTACTGAAATTTTTCTTCGCTAGGATTCTTAGTGTTGCTCCTATGTTTTTGTTCTGGTGTCTGTTCTAGACCTGAGCTTGTTTAACTATTATTGCAAGTTAGATCTCTCCATTTCCTGTCTCCATGCAAACTTCTACATAAAAACAGTGTCAGATGGAAGATGCACCTAATGCTGTGTCCTGTCTCCAGCAGTAACCAGGTCTAAATGCTGAGTGAAGAGTGTAATAAGCGAATGAGTGTGTGATGATTCTTCTCTGTTGTTCTCCAAACTGCTTGCAGCTTGTGGCTGAGAGCTTCTTGAGTCAGTTTGGTAGTCAAGTGGACAGATTGTTCTTACATGGCTTTTACCTGCTTGTGTTTCGGTCTGCGTAAGCTTTTGGCTTCCAGGCACCGTGCAGTAAGAAGCTTCGTAGCTTGACTGTATACTGTGTGAGGAACCATACCCTTTTGTTGGGTACCTGCTATTGGAGGAGAGAAAATTAGTGGTTCATTCTATTATGTAGTTTCTCAAATAACTTTTTTCCTATTGAAGAGCTAAGTCTTCTGGGTAGTTCCTTTGGTTGTGTGGAAGCCAAGCAAGCCAAGTAGCTGAGAATGCAACCCTAAAGTGACATTTAGTTGCAACTGACCAGAGGGTTCAAAAGTTGCTTGGCAGTCAGGGAAGCAGAAATGACTTGAGAAAGTTAGTATGCATGGACAGCATTGTTGTAAAAGCCTAATTTGCTTAAGGAGGTTGGTCAAAATGGCTGCACTTGATTCAAAAACTAGTAGCCTAAGAATGCTTACTATATTAAAATCTTGGTTTGGCTAATAGTTTTTACTTTTTTTTTTTTTAATTCCAGAATTTTTGAATCCTCTTGGGAAACATGGAAATAAAGATCTACTTTTTAAATATCTTTCAGGACACTTGACACGTTCCAGAGGAAAGCTGTTTCTTGGGGTGGTTTTTTTTTTTTTTGTTGTTGTTGGTTTTTTTTTTTTTTTTTTCTTCAAAGTTCAGAAGAATCTGTATTCTCTGGGATTTTAAGGAAGTATAAAATGAAAACAGTTTGAAGTTTATCCTTCAAAATGAATGTTGAAAAGTCAGATGACAAAGCAGAGAATGGCTTGAAGTCTTCCTTACTTATAAGGGATGAAAATGGAAATAACTACACATGTGACAGAGCTGCACCTTCATCAAAGAGTTGTGAGACAGACAGGATTTCAACTGACCAAAATACAGTGACTGAGCATGAAGATGATACAGTCATTCTTGAAAGTAAGAGTGACTTCAAAAGTGTTCTTCTGAAACAGCAGGGTATTGAAACACTTCATCTGCAGAAGACACCTGGTAAATACAACTGTACAGGAGCTCTGTTGAGAGATGCAGATGCTGCATGCACGTCTTCCATGGCTGAACAGACTTGTGAGCATCCTTTGAACTGTGACATGGAAGAAGCAACAAACTTGCTGAAAGGTAATGTTGCTGTGGCAAAAATGCAAAATCAGAGTATCAAACAATCAGTGCCTTACAGTCAGTCTGACTCTAAGTGTGTATTACTTCCTTCTGCTTCAGAACAGAACACGCAGTCCCTGATAAATGACAGGGTATGCTGCCACCTGAGCATGTTGGATGTTGCTAATGTTATAGGTGAAACTCCGGGAACTGATCAAAATGATGACATGTACCCGAGAGAAACACTAATCTCTTCTGAAGTATGTATGAGAGAGAAACCTGATAGAACCAGCTCAGAAGGAACACCTAATTTCTCCTCTACAATAGTGGCTTCAGAAAGCCCAGACACCTGTTCAGAACCTGAAGTTTATTGTCCTTCCCCTGCAGGCGTCAAGCACTATCTAAATAACACTGACAAGCCTGATAAGGAATCACAGGAAACAGAAGCAGAGTCTGTAAAACTAGCTGCTAGATGTATTGATCCTTACAGGCAAGATGCATTATCACCATGTGTTAATATTAACGAAGATGACCAAGCCATGTCCTCGCACGATATGCCTGACCACGGTGAAACTGGGAATTCCAGTGCTGAAACATGCATGGATAGTCTTGTAAATAACGTTCCCCTTCTCCCACTACATAAAATGGATGAAGAACAAGTATCAAAGAAAACCAGTGAACTCTTATCCAAAGAACAAGGTACCTCTGGAAATGCTGCTCTTCAGGGTACGTGCAACACCTCTTTTGTATCTTGCAGTGTACCAAAATTAAAGAGGGCTGTTAGACCTGATCTGAAATGTGAAGCAACTTTTGTAGTCTTCAGTCCTATGGCTGATGAAAGCGATCCAGCTCTATGTACTTCAACCCCTAAAGAACTATCAAAAAATACAACTTTTTCTGTTCCAGCTTTGATGGAACTTGGAGACAAGTCTCCCAAACTGAGACCAAATGAGGCATTTGTAGGAAGGCATAATAGGCAGCCTTTGCGTAAAGCTAGTTCAGGTCAAACTGCGGGAAAAACAGTGGGCAGGTCTCCTGTTGTGTCAACAATAACCAAAGCAAAGAAATCTGAGATTGTTAGTTTTCCCAGACCTAATTTCAAAAACGTTAAGCCAAAGGTTATGTCCAGACCTTCGCTACAGACAAGAGACAGTGCAGCCTTAAAACAGTCTCCCCAGTCCCCTCAACTATCAGCTGTCTCCTCTCCCTCACTGGTTGCTTCCCCAAGGCAATTGTCCCCCTCTATAAAAGTGCTGAAAAAGAAAATAGATCTAGCTAAAGATAGTACAGTGGAATTGCCTGTGAATAAGCCCCATAAGCTACATCTTAACAAACACCTCTTCACTAGCGAAGTCGTACATGCCACAACACATCCCAGAAACGCTTCCCACAAGCCTTCAAAGACACCTCTGTTAAAACAGAATCCGGAAGACACCGGCAAAGCAACCTCTACCCATTCGGCATGCTCCTCTGTTTCTGCTGCGCTTCCAGCGTGTGTAGAGAACTCAAAAGAAATGGTGAATGATAAAATGGAAAGTTCAAACTCCTTAATGCAGCCTTGTGCTCAGAACACCTACCTGACCAAAGGAGAAAGAGAGCAAAGCAGCAACGTGGGAATTCTTCTGGAAGCAGCCTTGTTAAAAGATGTGGCTAATGAAACATTTGACCTGCACGCTGTTCCTTTGGTAAGCTATTTTTCTTTACATAATTATATGTTTTTCACACTTGGTAAAAGGGAATTCTGCATTGCATAGTGCTGAGTGGAAATTGGGAACGGGTTTTGTGTCCACAGTTGTAACTGTAGTGTTGATTTCTGAGGTGAAGGCTCTCCCTAATAAAGTAAATGAAGAAATGTGGTTTTTACAAACTGGTTGCACTCAAGTGCAAATTAGTGTCTTCAGCCTTCATCTTATTCCACGGTATAAATGGTTTTTGTGCTAAAGTCTTTTTAAGACACTGCAGTTGTTAAGATTTCTAATAAAAGCAAAAAAGGCATAATTTAGTCAAACTGGTAAAATTGCATAGCAGAACTTGGTAAAGTTTTTTGAAATATGCCTTTTAATATGCACGTTCATCAAGGTGATTCTAGTGGTGCTGTAACTTTAAATAGATGTTAAAGATAAATTGCTGTTTTCAGTATTCTGTTTCAAAACATGCTTTAGAACTAAATTACACTTTTTAAATATACTTGGAGAAATGTTGTGCATATATTAACAATAATACGAAGTCACATAAAACCTGAAGACCAACGAGTTGGTCAAGCGTTTTATTTGTAACATCTTAATTTAACTGTCTGCTCTGAATAATTTGGGAGGTTGTTTATTTAAAGGAGAACTAGGACTCATTAGAATAGTTAAGAGTTGTCAGGAAATATTTCCCATGCAGAGGGCATATACCTGGTTTTGGGCAGTCAGCCAGCTGGAAGGTGCAAACTTCCTGGCCGGGAGGTATACGTGTGCTGGTTGGTTGGGAAATATTTTGGGATGAGTCAGCTGCCCATCAGAAGAAACGTGCTGCTTCCAAATACTCTGAAAGAAGCTTAAAAGAAAAGAAACTGTGGGAAAGAAGCAAAGAGCTTCAGGATCGCACTGACTGAGATCTCATGAGGCATGGTGGGGACACAGGGTTGAGTCCTGGTGCGGTATGGAGTCCCTCCTGTTGTTTGCTTGTGGATTCAACAGCTTGTATTAAATTAGCTGTTACTGGTAAAACAGGAGTTGTCTGAATTTTTGTCAGGCTTTACTGATTTGCCAGAAAAACTTCAGTAAAGCTCGGTATATGGAGGAAGCTACTTCAAGTAAAACAGAAGCAGGTATCCATTTTTGAAACATTACAGAAGAAATTAATAAATAGTATTTGAACTTGAAAACATAAATGAACATGGAAGCAAGAATGGCCTGTTTTAATTCTAAAATTTTTCAGAGCTTGGATTCTGCTTCACTCCTTCCTTCTCGTGCCGAGGGTTGGAAAGAATGCTTTTTAATTCATTCCGTTGCCAAGATGGAAACCTTTGTAATATTAATTGTTCTTTTGGTACCTGGAAAAATCAATAGACCGAATTCTTTAAGATGTGCAGTAGACCAATCAGCTGGACTAAACTTAATAAATGGTCTTCTGAAAGGTACAGATTAACTTCTGAAAAAGAAGTTGAGGATTGGAGTCAGAAGTGGAAAGTTCATTCATATAACCAAATTGCTGCATATCAGCTTGAGTCACAAAAAAGCGTATGAACAGCTGTACATTTTTATAAGTTTACCAACATAGGCTTAACTTTACGGCATGAGTGGTCATGAATTACTGCCTATATAAAATGGAGCAAGAATTCTGTATGAAATGTAGAGGAGTGCTACATGTAAAGAGGTTATTTTAAACCTGCCCTGGCTCCACTCCTGTATTTGTTCTATCTATGGCACCTGAATGTGAAAGTTTTTAACCTGTTTTTGTGTTGTAACATAAGACCGAGACTAAGAAACCTGTTGTAAAGGCTGTGACATTTCAGGTAGTACAGGACAACTATCTTGTCAGCTCATTAACTTGCATAGTTGCTTGGTAAAGAATTCATCTTGAGATTGGGTGCAGTCATGTAATTGAATGGCTTAATTGGAGCATGGGAAGGAAGAAATTCTGATGTAAAATAGCCTCTGTAACCTCTTTAGTGTGTTTGTCATTAGCAGTGATTAGCTTCAAACTAATAGTTTCGTGTTGCTGAAGGCCACTCAGGAGATGATATTTGAGGTTCTGAACTGTGGATGTGGACGATGTGACAGCAAACAGCTAAGCATATCCCCTACCTGCGCCGTCAGTATTTCCTTACAGATGCTGGAAAGGGAGATCTTCAGCTTCTCACAGTGGTGGTGTGTGGGTTTTTTGTTGTTGTGTTTTTTGGTTTTAGGTTTTCATTTGTTTTTTAAAAAACAGATACCTTCTGTGAAGGATGGGACAACACAAGGGAAAAGCATACTGAAGAAAGGTCCAGTCACACTACGGAGTGCATCAGGTCCCAAGGTTAAAATGGTGCCATCTGTGTTGCCCTTGAAGAGAGGATGTGAAAACAAAACTGTCAGCGCAGTTAAAACACCTTCTCACAGAGGAGCTGTTCAGTCATCAAGCTCTGGTAAGAGAATTTTTCACTGGAATATTAACGCTTAACCAGTTTCTTAGGATATCATATTAAGTGCTCTTTTAGAATGCTGCAGAGCTGTATTTTTGGTGCTATTCTGTCTAAATTGCAAATTGCTAGTACAGGGGGTGAAAATAGACTGGAGACACCTCATCAGTGTAAAATCTCATCTTTTGTTTAGGAGGGTGTGGTAGTAATAAAAGAAACAGTATTTAAATATTATTTATAGTTTGGTTATATAACAGAACTTTGCAGAATTACAACTAGAATTATTTGAAAGATATAGAACTGAACAGGAGAAAATACAGGGCTTGGGTACCATGCATTTACGATGAGCAACTGTATGCAATCCCAGTGGGAATGAGCCCTTATTTCAGGATGTAACATATTTTGTTCAGTCTAATTTTAGTACAGCTCTATGTCCTCCCATTTCTAGAAACTATAATTGAAAGAGAGACTAGTGCTTGAGCTGCTAATTAAGCTCACACTGATTAATACCAAGGGTGGGAGGGATCTTGTATGTAGTCTGTAGGCTGCTGTTTAAATCTGGTAACTGGAAAATACCTTTTGTAACTGCATTGTAGAAAGTCAGAAATTTTCTTCTAGGTTATGTGCCTTTTTTAACCCAGTGTGGCAATATTGCTTATGGCAAAGGTAGCCTGGCTATAAACGACTGCATTACAATACACTGTAATTTGGAAAGTGTGCACACCCAGCTATACCCAGTAAAACCTGTTTGTTTTTTTTTTTTTTAACCTGCTCAATCTAAGATTATAAAACAGTCCAGACTACTCCTCCTAATTATGCACAGGTGGTGAAGCATGATAAAATCTGTATCAGTAGTCCTCCATGGCATGAGTCCCTCCAAGAAAGTGGATATAGGCTATTCACTGAATTGAGCCTTGCTAATGTGAGCAACTTGCTCGGTGAACTAGGTACCTGCCTGTAAGCCACCAATTTCTTGGAAGACTCGTCACCTCTCTAAATACCAGTTTAGAGTTTTCCTATCTGTAATTATAGCCTTAGAAGAATTGAGACGGATATAGATTCAGATTTATATTTGTTCCTTAGCTTATTAGTCCAGAGTAGACTTATGATACTATCACTAGAAATAAATGTAAGCATGGCTGGGTTATAGGAATAACTTCTTCCTTTGTAAAAACAAACCAACTAACCAACCAACCAAAAACCAGATGCACTTTCAGAAGAAGTAGAAGGCATTTGCTGTTGAAAAGCAAAACCTTTACTCCCCAAATTACTTTAGCTAAACCTGTCCCTCTTTAACTTATTTTATGTTGAAATTACAGTAGTCAGTAGAATACCTTCCAAATTTTTCCTATTGGAAAAAGGCTACTTAAGGTAAAAGCATGAAGCTGCACCTCAACATGTCAAATTTGTGGTACAATCTATGAGACCGGAATTCTAATGCTGCACGAGACTAATTTTTATCCTCCTTGCCCTCTCCCCAGCCCCACTGCCAATGTGCAATGTTCCTAGCACATCCTACCCTCCATTTTGCTTATGCAGTGTTTTGGTGCTGCAGAGTAGGATTTGATGAATTAAACTGTGTCAGGTTACGTTCACATCCCTTGCTAAGGGAATTCTTAAACATGGTTCCTTGCTCCCTGGTAAACATAGTACTGGCACAAATGAGAAGATGGGAGTGCAGGGTGGGAGAAGCAAGGATGGGGAAAGGAAGGAGTTACTTGGTATTGCTGCCAAAGCCCTGCTGTATTATGTGCCCACACCTTTTAGGTAAAACCCTGTCTATTGCTGCCTACCCCATCCGTTTCTGAAGATTCTTGAAGTAGAACTATACATATGCTGACTGTGGCCAAGCAGTAGCTTGTAAACCAAACCCAGTTGCCCGTTTTAGCTGCAGCCTTCCTGTAGGGAATAATTCCTTCTTCCAGTTAAGTGATTTGAAAACTTTGGCGTTAAACTCGTCTGTTGGTGTAATTCCAGCAGCCAAGAAAAAAACTCGGTAGCTGCCCAGTTGTTTGCTGTCAGGATTTCTTTAGTCTACAGAGAGACTAGCTAAATCCAGGATGGAAAGGACTTCTCAAGGTCACCTAGTCCAGCCCGTCCCTGCCTGTAACTGGGTCAGTACTGAATTCAGACTAGGTTGCTTAGGCATTTGTCAGTCTGAGTCTTAAAAATGTCCAAATCCTAACGACCTCGTTGCTTCTTGAGGTGCTAACATATTTGTAGCTAATTCTTAACCAGTTGCTGGCTGTATTTGGATTGCTAGAGAGGAAGAAAAATCAGTGTAGTGAGTCCATTAAATGCTCTGATTGTATAGCTCTGTGTCATGTCTCACATGTGTATGCTGAGGGAGAGAAGCAGTCCGTCTGTCCAAAATGTATTAGTATAGGTATTATTCCCAGCATAATCACGAGCTTGTGAGCAGTAGATTGTGTCATGTACTATCATTTCAAGGGGGAAGTGTGAACTCCCCTACAACCAAGAAATAAAAGAAAAAGTGCCCTGTATGAAACACTAATTGTAAAATCCTTGCAACTTTGCCGGACTTGAGATTTTGGTAACATGTTTTTCACTTGTAGATGTAAACCTTAAAGATTTTCAGTGGTAATGCACTAACCAATAGGAAGCATATCTTCTAAGGAAATTCCCTGATTCTCTTCTGAACAAAGACAGCAGGAGGAGAGGAAAACTCATATGTCAAGTGTTACGTTTTCTTGAGGTTCTTTGCAGAGCACATTAAGCTAGAAATAACTTTTTATTTATTTCAAAATGGTTGCTGACTGCTTTTTGCCAGCATTGGTGTATCTTGGCTGGAACTTGGAGTTTTTTGCTGAATTAGAGAGACATTCTCTAAAGGGTGAGCCTGGCTTGATTCAGTGTACTGAAGTGGTTTGAAATGGCAAAGTCTAGAAATGGGTTCACATTTGTAAGATGTATCAAAATTCTCTCTGTAACTATTTTTCCATAACGCATGGACTTCTGTCATACTGGATGGCAAGCAGTGCCTTTTGCTGTTAGTTTTCTATTGGTGAAAACGTTTATTAGAATTCAAGACACATAATAAGGTGTTTGAGTTACCTGGTTTTTACTGGAAGGCGTGTGTAATTTTAGAGCTCTGGTTTAGGACTTTGAACCAGTCCTGAAATGAAAGCAACTATTGGTTTTGTTCCCAGCAAACACATACAGCCTTCTAATTGGATGTACATAACCACTGTGGAGGAGTAATACCCTGATAATAGTTGTGGTATTATGGTTTGAAAAGAGTGATGTCCTTCACTTGAAGTGGAAGGGGACTGGAGAAGCAAAGGAGCTTTGGTGGTCACATGGAACATCACTCTTAAGTTCTGCTGTCGGCCTGCCCTACCAACCGCATGTTACCACCCATGCAGCTGGGCTCAAGCACCATGACAGTTTCAGCCACAGGAAATTGTTTGATTTGTGTTTGAACAGCATAAAATAGGGATATAAATTATTTACTTTAGATCTAAAATGTGAATGCTCACCACTGCTGTTTTTAATCCTATTGCTGATTACAACCTGCCTGTAAGTATGTAAAGGAAAGGAGCTTTACCAGCAAGTAAGATTTCTGATACACTATAACTTCACCTACGCTTCTGCCTTAAATTTATCCCATTGCTTTAAATTACTTCCCACTGTATGAAACTTCACATTGTTACTTAATCTTAGCTATGAGAGCTCTGTCAAGCCTAATGTGTAAGTGAAACCGTTTGGGAATATGAACACATCAAAAATACTATTCCTCTATTTACTCTTAAAGACTTCCAGAAATTAATGGAAGCCATGTAAATCATCGTTGTAACCAAAATGTCTTTCACTGTCTGACAATTACTTCTGACATTTCGGGTACCATTTTGTCTCTGACTTAAGTCACTGATACCCACTTAGCAGAGTTATGGCCCTGTGCTTTCCTTATTTTTTCCATGTGTCTGTTCCACCTCTTTCTCTTGCTAGTATTTTCATAGAATTTAATTAGAGTAATGAAAGCTTGGGTAGAGAGAAGCTTGATTTCTGTTCTGTGTTTCCTTGAAGATTTTAGACAACTGAGACCTTATGAAAAGTTGATGATACTGAAGGACTTTTCCCAGTGTTTTGCAACTAACTGAATCACAAGAAAAAGAATTCCCCATATGCTGTAGGAAATACGTTTTAAGTTGGGTTAGACCACAGCGGGGTTAGTGATACTTTGAAATACTGATTTGCTTGTTAGTTCATAATTGCAAAATTCCTTTGGTTGAATTTTGGCTTGATGTTACTCTTAAATGTGTAATTCAGAGAAGCTTCCAAAGTTAAAACTAGAACAAGCCGTGACAGATTAAGACTGTGTTCATTATTCAGTGTTGTTGCTGTTTATTGCACAAAGGCATGCTTCTCATACAGAAAATTGAAACCAGATGGTTTCAGTGGGTTTTCATACAGCTGGAAATGTATATAAACTTAGTGATTCAGGACTGTTTGGTATAGCCTTTTGCAATACTAGTGAAGCAGAACCAAAACAATTCAGTTCCAGTAATCATTCCCACAATCCTTGAGTCTCTGTTCTGACACTGAACCAGGAGCTAAACCAAACATGGTTACTGCAAATCACTTTTCACCTTGTATTATTCTGCTATCTACCATGTGACTCTTTAAAGTTGGATTGACATACTGCCAAGAGGAAGCAAAATATTTTAAAAGGCAAACATAACTTCCACGTTCTCTGGCCTGAAACAGAACTTTTCTCAAAATGCTGGAGTGTGGAGTTACTTATAAGGCTATCCATAGACTTTCTCATGAACAAATCTGAGATGCACCAGGGTCTACAAATAAGGCTTAAAATTTAGTTTCAACCAGTCTTTTTATGCGTTTCCCACCACCACCACCACCATTTTTTTTCCTTTTGCAGAACAGCTGGTTTGTTTTACAGATCCTAAAAGCAGGTTTCTCAGGCTTATTTATCCAGGATCACTATTTATCCTTTTATTATTTGTCCAGATTATATGGTTCCCTTTTCATTTTCTGTACTGCATATGTAGGGGTTCATTACAGTAATTAAAGCCTGTGTTAAAAGTGAGCTTAAAATTCCCATATTCCACTTCAGAGGTGCAGGAAGGAGGAAACCAATACATGGGTCTCCATGGAGCATAAGGTCTGTAGTCTATCGTATGACATAAAGCTTGTCTATCATCCCTGTTTGGTCATCTTCACCCAGATCGCTCCACTGCACAGTGACTATATATCTCATAACCAGTTCTTTTCTATTCTCTTCTAATTTGCAGTATGAGGTGGGGGAAAACTTACCCTGTGTGTCTGAAAGCACTTTTCTCCGGCTGATCAGTTTGTAAGAGTTCAGAAAATGATGTAAATTGTGAGGGGTTAGGACCCTTGCAGGTCATCCTTTCTCTAATTGCTTGAGTTGGATTTCCCTGGTGATGTTTCCACTCTATTTTGCCAGCTCTTCCTGACCGTCCTCAACAGGAATGGTTTGCCGGAAGCTGCCTGGAGCTGTGTACATCCTTATGCCAAGTATTGACCTCTAAGCCTCTGCCCGAGGTGTGGGTGATCCAGGTACAAAATGGTCAATTTGCAATTTGAAGCCAGAGGTCTGGAGGAAGGGGAATAAGGGGAGTGGTGGAAACATTTGAAGATGAACTTACATGACCTTCATTCTGAAGTCTGTGGTATTTCCAGTAATCTGTTGACTTCCAGCTTGCAGAATCATAGAATGGTTTGGGTTGGAAGGGACTTTAAAGATCATCTAGTTCCACCCCCCTGCCG